AAGAGCCCTCGGCTTTCTTTTTTTTTTCTCCCCTCCTCCCTCTGCACACACGAGCTTACTCATCTCTGGTCAAGGTGAAGTCACAAAGCAGCAGAGGAAATTCTCTGCCAGTTCACACGGCTGTAACGGATGAAGTAATTTCTGCTCAGAAACAAGTTGCCTGCAGCAAGCATCTTGCTAAGTGGGCGCATGTGTCTTAGCACTGCACCATCCCACGCCAATGCCCTAGAACTTGTGTCATTAGCTTTTCCAGCGTTTTACTTATCAAGGTATGGAGGTCCTGGTTGCTAGGCCACAATCAAGTATCATAGAAGAGAGTTAAGGAAGTTGGAGGATGGTGATACGCTAGGTAGACAAAACTGTCGCGCACAACCGCGCTCAGAAGTAGCAGTGGGTGAGGCGCATGATGCGTCTGAATAAAGAAAAGGTTGCCAATGCTCTTCCTGCCTGACACAAGTCCGGCAACAACGAGATGGTCAAGGGATGTGGCTACAGCTCTGCGCAGCAGAGACTACAAGTGACTGTGGTCTCACTGCAGCCTGTGAAACAGTCTTGGTCCAGGTCTTGCTGGAGAGATGTCTCCCCACAAAGTGCACTTCCACCAGGATATGCAGGCTGCTCAATGCCGCACCTACCAGAAACGCTTAAGGCACACAATAATAGTAATGAATCTATAGCTTCCCAAGGCAAAGAGCCATCTGTATGAGACATAAAGCGATAGGAAGAGGCCAAATTATTTGCCTAATGTCCATAATGCACACTATATATAACGTGTATGTATGATCATTATTACAGAAGACAGAAAGAGGCGGCTCATTATTGTCAATTGGCTGAATTCATCAAACTTCCCAGCTAATCAAGGACTTTATAAAGTAAATTAACATCTTTCCCAAACTAAATACGGAAACAAAAAAAAAAGTAAAAGCAAGACCAAATCCAAAGAGCCTCTATAATACCAGTCTTTCAAGCCCGACATGGGTTATAACACACATGCCTGCACAGACGCATATGTCTCAGGATTTCATTTGCCTTTTTTGCCTTTATTTTTCTACAAATGATGCAAAAGTTTTTGGTGTATGAAAAGCATAGGCTGGACACTCAACAGCTTCAGTTGTCAAAAACCTAACCAAATAGCAAGAGGTCTTCTGTTTGTCCATGCTGGCAAATTGGACTGAAGGGTGCGCAGATGTGTATCTGTGAATGTGCCTTCACTTCCTGAAGCACCCAAGAGGAAATCTAGTGCTCGGAGACCTGCCGCCTTACCTAGCCACTGGAGAGTTAGCGGTCACTGAACCCTTCCCGTCCAAATCACAGGACAGGATTTGAATTGCTTTGACAAGCTCTCTGATAGTCGCTGATGGATGTCTTTGTGCATTGACTCTTCAGTTTTCATCCCCTTGCCTTTAATATTTTTCCATTTAGTTCTGCTGGGAGAGTTAAGATTTTTACTGCCCCTTCCAGCCTGAGTACGTGAGGTTTTGCATTAGGTGTATCTAAACTGAGGCAACGGGATCGGAGAATACGGACTCTGTGTTGGAGGTCTGACAATGGCGTGTTTCTATTTCCTATGCAGTCTTACTTTTGGCGATAAAAAAACTCCTGGTTCAAACTCAGCCCTTGCATAACTTTAAAACTCAGTTGACTCACAGGACCAAATGCTCAGCGGGTGCAAGTTGGCATAGTTCCACCACAACCAATGAAGCTACAACAATTGGTGAAAATCGAGGATCTTGCCCACAGGGCCAAGAAGACCAAGGCTCAATAGCTTTGGCCATTTAATTCCAGATACAGTATTTACAGAGATCCAGTAACACATGACAAAATGCAACGGTCCCTAAAGAGTAGCTGCTCTTGAAATCAGTGACCAAGAATCTTCCATCTTCATGTCAAGAGGCCGTATACAAAAGGAGCATAAATGCCTAAATTAAGCAGAACATTTTTGATCCAGAAAGGGATAAGAGTATGCCAGCACAAGCTAAAAAACATCATCCAACTCTTGTTCTTCTCATTTCTATCTATGTCTCCAAAACATCGCTACGATTTTTACCCCCCAAACAAAAGAGAGGTTTTGGAGTTGTACCAAGCGTTCTTGGGCAGAAATCTCTCGTGTTGATCCAAGGGCTCACTACAACAACCCTTCGTTTTATGGTCAGGGTATTTGCCTCTGTCATTCGTGAGATCTCGTTACTGTTTATTTTCAGTGTACTGTGCTTATTTTACTATTTGCATTATGTACACAATCTGCTTCAAGACAGATTGGGACTTGCTACAAATGGTGTCTCAATAATTTAATAAACTAAGTGAAATATCACAAGTGAAAGTAGCCAAACAGTGGGAGCAGATGGGTTTCTCTGAATATCAGAAATGCTCTTACTGTATCCATTGCCATGCCTTTCAAATTGCGGAAGTAACTGCATCTCTGTATTAAAATCTCATCTGTATTAGACTAGTTAACAAGCAGTTCCTGCTATTGAAATACATTTATTGGGAAATAACTGGTGTTAGGCAGCTGATTTTACAAGCTGTCTTAAACCCAGAATAAATCATTCAATACTTTGCTCATGTAAGGAAGAGTCTGAAAGAGCCAGTCCATAGATAAAATGCACTGAAGAGGGAAATCAGCCAATACGTCTACTGATAATTTGTCTAGAGTCAAATGCTAGAAGCAGGTGAAGGGGGACTGGACCCGATGAGCTACAAGGTCCCTTCCAGCCCCTGACAATCAATCAATCTCTGAACCTAACACTTCTATACAACACTGAAAAATGGTGCAAACATACTCTTAATGAATGACATGCATCCAGACCATTTTCTAACGTATATATTTTTCAATACACTTTTAAGAGGGAAAATGAGTGATTCATTTAACCAGGCTATGTCAAACAGATTTTCATGTTCACATTCAGCTGAGCCCTGTTCATTCATGAGCATATTATCCTGGAAATAGTACAGAACTAATTGTCTGACAAAGTAATTGTGCCATAGTTTTTAGAGCAGAAAATTTCAAGAAGATTTAGTACTCAGCCAATACAACTATTAAGTAACCACCATTAGATGTTATTCAGGAAAATAAATGCATTTGAAATTAGCTATGAAATATTATGGAGATCAGCAGCCTCAACTGAATGATTTAGGTCTTTTTGTCTGCGCACAGGAAATTCATTTAACATCTCTCTAATTTGTCTTCTTTGAAAGACTCCATTAGTAAAGAATCCAGTTTGTTTCAGATTCAGCTAGGTAATAATCAGAACACATTTATTTCATCCTCATAGAGCAGCATGTAAAGGAGTAGCATAAATGCTGAAAGTCCCCGAGACCCACCTTCCACAGAGGGAAATTACAGAAAATGAACGTTCCCTGCTCTCAGACCCATGCTCTTCCACCGTGCGGACCAGCGCCTCGTTTCGACCGGGATTCAGACACTTTCACTCTGGCCGAGTTGTGCCTTGCTCCTGAAACCTTTCCATCCCTCTCAAATAGGAACGGGCCGTTCAGTGTGGGTCAAGACAGCAGAATCTGGCCCGGAGCTGGGCACAGACCATGCCGCTGCAGACAGCGCCGTTCACAGGATGGGTGCGGAGGGGCTGACCCTGCAGTCTGCACCCGAGCAAACAAATCCTGGGCTTCACAAGGAGGTTTTTCCCCCTGGGAAGCTTTGGAGGATCGGGAGCCACACATTTTCAGGAAGGTCTGGCCTCCAGCAGCTCCCTTTGTTTTCCATAGGGGATCCCAAGTGCTGCTGCTATTTGGAAGTCTGGCCAGGAGTGCAAAAGGAGCAAAGAAAACCACCTCCAGCAAGTTGAAAATCACAATCTGAGGGACACCAGGTTGATTGAAATCCCGTCCACACAGACCGGACGGAAACATCCCAGCGAAGCTGACCCTGAGCCTGTAGACCCAAGGCGGACTTCCGAATATACAGCAAACCGTATGAATGCAGCATGACAAATAAATGCTCGATAAAACACACCTGGAGTTTGCATGGGAGCTACTTGATAATCTCCTAAAAGGATTCAGCAATATTGACAAATCCAACAGGAAATGAATGCCTGCATCCCCAGTGTGATTATAGCCCCATCTGAAATGTGGGCTGGTGACTCACTATCACTTATAAAAATACAGTGCTCCTTTTATAGCCACCTGCAAACAATTTCTAAGAAACACATGGGGCTCCACGATGCTGCCCTGGTGGATATGTGTATTTTTTAATCTGCCTAGTGGAAAGCTAGTGCCGGTTCAATTTGAGTTACCGATGTGGCACCTATGCCTGGTTCATCAGCGAACCGCGGGGAAGTTATTCAGTGGATTCAGCCCCCTCTGACTAGAGAAAAACTTCAGCACGGTTCAGTCCAGCCTAACCTCCAGCTCAGACAGACATCACCCCCTCTTCTGAAGATGGGTACTTCCCCAACATACCCCCGGGAGGGCTGGGCAAGCCAGAGAGATGCCCTATTCGACTGAAGTCACAAGCGCTCAAACACACACCCTTGTAGAGAAAGAAATTTAGCCGGGTTGTTTAATTTCATGGGCTGAGAAATAGGAGAAATCAGTGTACAAAAGGCCGAGCCCCTGCTAAATCTGTCCCACTTGAGACAGGAATGTGCATGCATCCATCAGAGTGTGGGAGACATGCCGATTCCCAGCCGAACACTTAAGAAACTGTGTTTTTATACTGGTTCGGTGTGCACAAAAAAGCATCCATCTCCCAGCTCTGGGGAGGCTCCCAGGCAGCCCGCACTTACGGGTGGTGTTGTATTTGATGCCGTTGAAGAACTCCGGGCAGGGTCTCTCCACCAGTTCCCCAGCCGCGGTCTTGGGCCAGCAGGTCCCGATCTGATCCGTGGTGGCATTGCAATAGGGACCTTCGCAGGAAAAGATAAAAAGGAGAGAAGCGATTGAGCGAGCCTGAAGCGACATCACCTACATCACAAAGCAGAGTGTGATTTTAAAAACTGTTTAACCCAAAGGCTTTTCCAACCCCCCTTCCCCCCATCCCCATCCTCTAGGCTAATGCCTCCTACCATCAAAGCCCAGGAAGGGGACAGAGGAACTCTCAAAAAAAGTATCCTGCAAATGGTCCAGCAGGCTGCAGTTAGCATCAAATTCGTCTATGATGAACTGCGATATGGTCACATCCATTATTCCCCTGGGGGCTGTGGGGAGCTGATCGGCCTTGCTCCTTCTCTGGGTTCTTTCTTTGCTTTGTTCCTCTTTGTCGGGGGGTGAAATTAAAAAAAAAGCAATCAAAATCGGAGACGCTCTGCACTCATGTGTGAGGCTCTCTCCGTCTCTGTCTCTGTGAGCTGCCGGGTGGGTGTGTGGGCTGCAATCCTGCGTCTGTCTGTGCAGTGAAATCCTCTGAGCGCGTCTCCTTTAAAACAGCCGCCCAGTAACCAATAGGATAGTGGCAAGCACAGAGTAAGGGGCTTGCCTTTCTCAGCTGGCTCCCCCCACCCCCGTCTTCCTCTCACCCAGTCCAGCAGCTCTCCAAGTTCCTCTTCACATCCACAGCCCTTCGCATCCACCCTCCCCCTCCGCCGTAGATCATCAGCTGCAATTGCCTTGATCATCATCCCTGCTGCAAGACTAGTTAATGCAGATGAAAGCAAGGAGGAAAACTCCAAAGGAAAGCACCAGGATGAATTGAAACACCTGCGCTCACCTGGAAGCAAAGCAATTCCTGCCTGGCGCTGCGGACTGGGCAAAGGACGCGCAGACTGAGATGCTCGGGGGGGGGCGGCACGGAGAGGCTGGGGAAAGGTTGGATTAGCTGCAGGCCTGGAGGGGCAGGAGCGAAGAGCTGTTGGCAGGGGTGGATCTGGAAGTATCGGGATGAAAAGGATCTGGAGGAGAGACCAAGAAAAGGCTGGGGAGGAGGCAGGGCCGGATGATGGCATAGGCAAACCAGGCACGTGCCTAGGGTCCTAAGTGAAGAAGGGGCCCAGTTGTGCTTGTTTTACATACGTACTGAGTGAAAAAAAGTGATATAAAAATTTCATTTTCAGCTGGGGGGCCACGAGGTTGTTTGCCTAGGGCTCATCCAGCTCTGGGAGGAGGCAGACAAAAGACCAGTGAAGGCAGAGGTGCCAAAGGGCCAGAAGTTGGATCTGGGAAAGGTAGGGCCCAGAGAGGGAACACGTGGAGGACAGGGAGAAGCAGGTGGGATGGGAAATTGTGGGTGAAAGATCCACCTAAGCCTCAGGACGGGGCAGACAGCAAACAGCAGAGAGATCAGGAGAGGGAGCAATGACTGGGAAGGAGGGGATGGCAGTGAGGAAGAAGAAGCAGCAACAAGAAAGGCAGGAGAGGATGAGAGGGGTCAGAGGAAGAAGGAAAAGGAAAGGTAAGGATCCAGAATGAGTCGGAGCCAGAGCACAGGGTGGTGTGAGAAAATCTAGTGAGAGGAGGACAACTTGGGAGATAAAATCCCCAGTGGAAAAGGGACAAGACAAGAAGAGCCTGGGAGGCAATTTGGAGGGACACCACCATGAAGACTGAGGCAGGAATATCAAGCCTGGATGGCTTGTTGGAAGATGCATTTTACTCCAACACAGATTACTGGCCTTTGTACAGGGTAATGCGTGAAAGTCTGCCGTCCAGAATAAGCAGGGGGTCAGCATCGCTGGTCTAATGATCCCTTCTAGATTTAAACTGTATGAAGTCAGGAGAAGTCTTAGATTAGGCATTTGGGCAGGTGGGCTTGGAAGTCTAATTACTGGTACAAGGGATTCAGAGATAAGAGGCAGATTGGCACGAGACAGGCTATGTCCATGTGACATGAGAGCAGAAATGAAAATGCAGCCGCCCCAGGGAAAGGCAGCACGTAGGCTATGAACACAATGTATTGCATTCAATACAATGCATTCAATACTTCAATACTACAGTACATTCAGTACTTCAATACTGCGTTCAGTACAATGCATTCAATACTTCAATACTACAATGCATTCAATACTTCAATACTACATTCAGTACAATGCATTCAATACTTCAGAGTGTGCAGAGGTCCCAACTCTTCCGCTCTTGACCTGTGTTAAGACATATCAGTACCAAACCCCTCCAAAACAATACAGCATATTTCCAGTGAGACCCCCATTCCCTTCCATCTGCCCAAACCCTCCCTCTGCTCCTGTTCAAGATTGCAGGGCTTCGTCCCCTTCGTTCTCCTTAAAGAAGTGTCACAGTCCAAGAAAGGGATGGAAATGAAAGGCAGGTGAGAAGCAAGTTGCTAGGTTATAAAGGCAATGGACTGATACAACATACTGTATGTAAAGCCAGGCAGGAACATGTTCTCCCATCTGTTTGCAAGATTTCACAAATGTTCCCATTCTGCATCAGGATAAAAATAGGACCATTCACATTTTTTGGGGGGGAGAGAAAGCAGAAACAGAGGGGAAACCTACTCTAGAAGGGAAAATACCTTGGTATTTAAAGCGCACAGTCGGGATATGGGAGAACAGGGTTGAAGTCCCCGCTGTTTCTTTCAGAGAAGGGACTTGAACCTGGATCCTCCATAGCCCCATATGAGTAGTACCCTAAGCCCTGGGTACTGGCTACTTTTGGGTGGATACGCACACAGCTTCATTCTCTTTTGGGGTGCATACGCACACAGCTTCATTCCCTTTCCCTGGTTTTGATCAAAAATCCTGTCTGGCGGCTGAGTAATATTCCCTGCTAAAGTTTCACTGAAGCTAGTACCGTCCCCCAGAATGGTTTCAGTCTGAACTGGCGCTGTCCAAAGAAAAATAACAGTCTCAGAAAAATTCCCAACCAGCTCTAGTCAGAATGACACTGATCTGCACATCTGGATCAGGAAGGACTTTCTCCCCTAAATCAGACTGACACGAACAGTGGGGATTTTGCCATCTTCTGAATCGTGGTACCGGGTCCTTTCCCCAGAATCTCCCAAGTGTATATTAAACGACTTCCCTAACATTGCAGTGGCCGGACGTCCAGTCCTACAACCCTCGTTGCAAAAGGCCAGGTTGGAGAGTCTATTGGTATCACTCGTGGAGGTGGAATGAGACCCTCATCAAATGCATTGCTGGGCTTTGAGGATAAAACCCTACTGGGCATTGCTGGGTTGTCAAAGTGATTTGAGCAAGGACTGGAAATGGTTGTAAATCAGAAAGGGTTTAACTAAGTCTCTGTGCTGAATGCCATCCGCACTTCGATGCCATACTCCTGTCTCTGTAACCGCAGGCATTAGAGCAGCATCACACAAGATGCTTTTACAATGCCTGGCCCCTCGAAAAGCAGGGCATCTCACAGAGGACGCATTACTGATTCTTGCCCCTCAAGCAAGACATCTCTCAACCGGTTCATTTTCCCAGCTACAGTGCCTGCAGAGGAGAGCATGTGTTTCTAGGTATGAGGGGCAAGCTACCAATTTTGCAAGGGAACAATGTCGATTAATGAATAGATTGGTGTTCTGGGACTCTGAGTCCCTCCCCCAGCGTTTTCTCTGTCTTGGCTATTTATATTGCAATCTCTGTCTGTCTTCTCTCCGACAGTCGAACCAAAAGCCCGAATCAGGGCTCTGAACACAAGGCACCTGACTCTTTGGACCAATGTTTAACTCACCAGCAACACACCATTCATCTCCTCCACCATTTTCTTCAGCTGAAACTATTTCAGAAATGCTGAAACACTTAATTCCACTACTTCCAAAATAAATGTCCCAAATTTCCACTCCGAAGCAATGTTTCACTTTGAAATCTACCTTCCTAGAAATGAAATAAAACACCCTGCTCAGCCTGAACCACATTTTGCAGAGGGTTTATTTGATGTCAGCGACAAAATTGAAAACAAAAAAAAATTAAATCAACACAAAAATCATTTCTTTCCCTTGATTTTTCAGGTCAGCTGCCAAGCCATGTCCCAAATTTCCACTCCGAAGCAATGTTTCACTTTGAAATCTACCTTCCTAGAAATGAAATAAAACACCCTGCTCAGCCTGAACCACATTTTGCAGAGGGTTTATTTGATGTCAGCGACAAAATTGAAAACAAAAAAAAATTAAATCAACACAAAAATCATTTCTTTCCCTTGATTTTTCAGGTCAGCTGCCAA